CGCCATATTCTCGAGACCTTTCACCAACCGGCTATAACCTTTTCAAACATTTTCAGAACTTCCTTGCTGGAAAATACTTCATCAATCAGGACCAGGCAAAAAAGCCTTCGTGGATTTCGTGGATTCTCGACCACCCAGTTTTTTCTTTGATGGGATTTATCGACTGTCACATTGGCAAAAGTGTGCTGATTCGAACGGTGCTTATTTCGATTAAATCCGATGAGTATTAAGAAAGTTATGATCGTTTAAAGTGAAACACTCAAAACGCTGAGAACTTTCCGGACAACCTAATAGAATCCTTAGAGTAGCGGTCACATGGTGCCAAGGGACCGTTTTCTATTGCTGATATCGCGTTTCCAAAAGCGCCGTATCTCTCGGCCTAGTTTATGGCATCGCTACTATACCAACGCTGATATACTAAAAAAGAGGGGAGAGGTGTAATGGAGGAAAAGTTATTGCAGGGTACATATTGAAAAAGAAATTCTCTTAACCCGTACCTTGTCTAGTTAGTAAAAATTCTCCCATAGGATGTATTTGAACTCACCAAACTTCCATCATCGTCTTGTAGCTTTAAGTCCAGTAAGGCTATGATAACGCTGTTATTCTCCATCATATCAATCATCTTCGAGTGCAGATCTTCAAAACGTAGCCTCTCTCAACTGAAGCAAAGAAAAACTTGTAGTAATGATTACTTGGATTTGTTGTAAAAAAAACATAGCGAGATCTGACTACACTGATACGAAACTAGGTTCATAGGAAGATTTATCCGGATGCAACGAGTAAATGGCTTGGCTACGAACGAACAGTTCAGGCGTCAGGCAATAGTGAATACTGTACAGTAGAAGGAAAACCCTAAAGTATCCAAGTCCAACATCAATATGGAACGTTGTCACCATCGTCAGCCTTGCATGTCGCGCGGTCTCAGATTGTCAAGTTTGGCCTGGGAAAGTTCAACTTATAAACGAAGCATTAGTCAGCTCTGCAGGCGAGCAGATGTTAATTTCCAAGTTTTCCACGTTTTTATAGATCCAGCTAAGCTCCATGGCCGCGACACGCAACACTGCAAGCATTTATGTGGCTCTTTTTTTTAGGCGATGACATAAGCTGCACGTTTTCGAAACTCTCAAGGTATCCCTGAAAGAGCTTCGTGCTTAGAAATGGTAAAACGAATGGCAAAAAGAAATGAACAGGTAGAGCTATCAGAAGTTGACAAGCACTGGCCCAGAAATGCAGCCTCCATTCCCAAAAAAAAATTTGCAGTGTGCTGAATGTATCCCGTTCGATAGTACTATATATTCCTCGATTGCCTTGCATAGTTATATGCATCTGACGTACATGCCCTCAGAATCGTCGGGATTTGCAGGATAGCTGGATATTTGCCGCTGATTTAGTGCAAGCTCACAACGCCAAAAAAATGTGCTCTCGGGCTAGAGATCAAGTAACGAGGAGTGAGAGAAGGCAGTGAGACGTACGGTCCGATAGTTCTATTTCATTCTGTGGCGGCTTAGGACCTCTGGCGTACCTTAAAGGCACGGTTCGCGATAAAAAGCCTAGGTGATTTTGCAGAAATGTGGAAGAAAATTCGCCAAGTGAACCATCTATGAAGAGAAAATGCCAAAGGGAACGTTGGAAACGCATTCGTCAGGCCTCCTCTAGCCTCAAACAACTGTAGAGGTAAAAGACCGAAAGACCGCGCGCTGGGACAATTCCCGTCGGCTGATTCCCAGTAATGAACCCTATGACTCTACAAGAGACATTGAATGCATCCACTCCATGATACTTGCCCGGGAGCATTACTTTTGGCTGGAAGGCCGACTTTGGAGGCGGAGTCTGGAGGCGGAGTCACTGGAAAAAGGGATGTACCACTGAAGCAACTTTGCGCCTTAATTCCTTTACCGTACAACTTTCCGCCGCGAAACTGGCACAGGGTTGTCCACTCCGGACCGCACTACCTTCCCACATAACCTCTTGCATTTTCATAGGTCATCGCGGACCGCTCCTTTAACCACAGCCTCAATGGCGCTAAGCGGGCGCCTCTATGGTAAGATACCCAAGTCAACGGCGAGGGAATCATAAGGGGTATCGGAACGCTACCACAATCAGAGCTCACCGTAAGCTGGGTATCCCCAGCGAGAAGGGGTCGTGTTGTGTCGATGCTGTAGGGAGCGGGGAGGAGGTGTGGGTGGTCAATGACTTTTCTCGGTTCCCCTTGCTCCATGTGAGCTATTGAGCTATCCCCTAGCCCAGTGCAAATTGTTGGAATAGACTCAGGAAAAGTGATAGGGATTTCGAAGAATTTAGAAAAGTGTTATGCAGGGAATGAGAGTTGGGAAGGGAGAATAGTACCGGAGAAGAAACACTCGAGAGGGGGGGGGGGGAGGAAGTCGTATTTCGCAAAATCCTCCTCGACGACAGGAATTACCCTGGTCAGAATATCATCGAGTATCACCTTTATTTAATATGAAGGGCTGGTGCATGGGTCACGCATACAGGCTCTCATCACTGAATCGTCAGGTCACCCAACACTAAACAGGGTTTAAAGTCAAAATTGACACCATCAAATGCTTTGGGCCAACCTAGAGCAGTAGTACTGAGGTTTTTCATGAACTAAGGAACTACAGGAGTTCGACAACTTAATCTTTTGGACGAAGTTTTGTGATAGGAGTAAATGCTATCATTAATGTGTCAACCTGATAATTAACTGCGAAATGTGCCTTGAAGGGCCAGCGCTCGCTCGGAATTGTAGGATGCGCAACCGTTTTAATGTGACCACTTGGGGATCCTACTACGTCATGGTTTTTTGTCGAGCATGTCTTCTTGGTTGTAGCACGTGCACTGTATAGGTTCTCTACCGTACTGTACTGCTCTGTGGGCTTCTGCCTTCATATCGGGCCTTTTCCTTTTTTATTTCATTACATATTTAACCGATAAGAGGGTAGTGCTATCGAACGAAATTATCCATTTTTCACCATTTCAGTGCCCGAAACTCCCGCCGGGTGGACTTAATCCTTGACTTTAGGACCCCAACTTTTGTAATCGTTGAAACCGTTCCCTGCACCTTCGTTCCAGTGAACTTTTCCCGCTGTGGGTATCGGAAGGCGTCCAAAGAGTTTCAGCCACGAGTTGGAGATAATAATGGAGAAAACTCTTGGAATTGGGCTCTTCGAAGAAGTACCTTATCATGACCTAATCTGAACTGACCCATATATAAGACCTTATATTGTTGACCTTGTTACACTGTGACCTTACTCGGTAACTGTTATAATAGTAACGAACAGTTACCGAGTTAAATGTCCTTTTGAGCAGAAAATTATGTCGACAGTAGAACCTAATTCATAGACGATGTGTTAGGTCTAACAATAAGAGCAGAGCGAAGAGCAAAAGCAGACGGAAGAGGATATGCGAAGAAAACGATATGCCGGCAACCATGAAATTCCATGTGAAATTTGACTAGAGTTTTTCTTTCATGAGATTTCGCATGTAAAACGACATTGGTATTGCACATGAGGTTAATGTCAGCTTCAAGCTGGGCAATTTGTGCTGGAGCGTGGCTCTCGACGAACCTATTTCACGGCCACTACACCGTGCTTATTGAAATATGTAGAACGATAGGAGCGTGTCAGGCCATATATAGGAATTGTTGTTGAGCTGATGGGCACTACGATGGGAGGTTGTTGAGGAAGGGGAAGGAGGGGAATTATAGTTCAAGATGGCAGAAGACGAGTGAAGACACTGCGAGAAGTATCCTAGGATTAGGGCAATCAGGGGCATTAAGGAGGTTGACGGTGACGACGAAATAAGGATAAGACGAGGAAGACTGTAACAGGGGAGTAGGGAGATGACATGAGCGTGGTACTGTAGGAATTTGGGTAAACCGGGGAGAGAAAGGGTTGAGAAGAACCCTGAAATAATCCAAAAACGAGACCAAAAAGGGGACGTGAAAATGTTTTGAGCGGAACAAACCAAACTTAAGCAAGGCTTCCATCCAAAATGATTTCGACAGAACATCTCAACAGTACTGACCAGACAGAAGTAGGCGGACTCCGTAATGTGTGAGTTGAATCCTGTTGACGTAACTGTGACAAAAGAAAATTGTTTTTGAATGGCTGTATGAATTTCACTGGCATCATTAAAAATGTAGTAACCCAGAGAGCATTCAGACGTTTGTTCTGAAGGAACAAGCTTAGTCAACAGCTATGGTCTGTCGGTCCACCTATGAATTTGTTCTGCCATTTAAAGGAAGCCTCTAGACTCAGACGAAAACAATGAATGCGTCGAATAGTAATGAACGTGTAAGTTAATTGTTCACCTGAGTAACAACACGGACGCTTTCTCAAGGGCTGAAGATTAATCCTGCCCTCTAGTTCCGATGAGAAGGCATGATTCTGATTGCTGGTTAGAGGAGCACAGTTAGGACAACTACTTAGTAAAGTAGCAAGAAAACGAAGGAATGAGAGCGAAAGAAGTCAGGAGCACTAGTAACTTAACATCAATCAAATTGGAAAAGAAAAAAAAATCGAAGAAGAGGGAATGTTAAACAAAAAGTTGCGGGAAGAGTGCAAAGGAACTATCAAATAAAAGTGATGTAGGCTCGCTCATTTTAGAAGCGATGGTTTCTCCATCTTTCCCACGTGCCCAATTTCTACTTTATTCTACTCATATAGAAGTGTATGATGGCACCTTTCTCACTCGCGGGCTAACGTCCCTTGAAACGAAACACCCGAAAAGGGTGATATAGCGTGCAGATACGTACATGTTTACACAGTATGGAAAAGGTGGATTAATCTCATCATGAGGTGGCTGTATCACGCCATAAGACGCGTTTGGTACAACGTAACCCATTTGAATGGTAAGAATGCCAGCTACCTACTACATCAGCTCGTACAGCCCAACCCCCTCGGAGATCACCATCTATTAAAGGTGTAACCAGAAATGGTTAATTATGTGCGTTATCGAAATATAGTCTATACTGGTCATTTTTTAATTGCTAAGGGAGTTCTTGTTACAGGTCTCGGAATTTCACCCATTCTCCGGTTTACAAAAACATTTCCAGGGCTCCAAATGTTTACAGGCGTCTCTTTTCTGGTAATTCGGCATAATGGTTGGAAGTGCTTACATACTTCAATGAATAGATTGAGGGGCGCACAAATAAAGAAGGCATGATGTTTACAAGTCCTCGCCCATCCGTTCAATCTGGATTAAATGCCCTCCCTGTAGTTGTGAATTCAGTGGCGATTCACAACCTTGACTATACAAATTTTTTCAAAACCTTGGACCACTGAACATTTGGAGCGAATGTTTCAATGAACGATTCCGTTAAGCTCAAAATAAGCAGAATGTTCATTCAGAGTGCTTTCGATGATTCCCACGAAAGTCAAAAACACCCCGAAATAAATTGATGCAAAGATGTTTTCGTGGCGCAAGTCGAATATAGTGGATTTCTTGAGGCAAGCATTTAGGACCACCGCAAACATCTTTTTTGTATTGTAAAGGTCTAATCACCCGGGGCTCTTCTTCCTCTTAAGCTAGGGCTGAACCCTCACCTGGCTGCCAGTCGTTTCATCGCACCTCCCAGCGTTCCATCGCATTAAGTTCCAGTTTATACAGAAAAAGGGGCAAATG